GCTCCGTGTGCCCCCTGCAAGGACTGGCAGGGGCTTCTTGCGGGGCTTACGGTCCGTCTGCCCCGACCGGAGACTTCTACAGGTGGCCAGAGCGATGAGTCCAAGAGCCRCACGTGACGAACAACGGATAGAAGATGCTGAAAAATGCTGGGTTTGGCCACTTGTAGCCCATTGTCCTGGTTTCAATATTGTAGAAGTGCAGGTGTGACTTCAGTATCAGAAGCAAACCCCCCTTTTCCTTTAAGTAATTAAATGCCCTTTGTTCACTTCACCCAACCGAATTAATTGAACAAATCACTGCGTGATTTTTCTTCTGGACTAACCTGTTTAGGAGAGGGGAWGAGAGAGTATATAAAGGCACAGGTGAGGATGAGCTGAGACACTTTTTCAGGGAGGCATTATCTGATGTTACAACTCTTCTGCTGTGCTCTTTAGCAGATGTTTATCTTTTCTGTTAGGTTGTCAACAAACTCTGTGACCTCCCAGGCTATGCACTTCTACTGTTTTATTATTTTTTATGATTTGCAATTCTTATACCTAAAATCCTGCTACAGCACAGTCAACATTRTCTTGGGGATGTAGAGAACACTTGCTTATGGCTGCTAAGCAGATGCTTTTCGTCTAAAGGCTATACTTTCTTTGGATATTTTTTGATTCTTCAGCTTTTATTTATGGTGGCACGTGTTATTTCTGTTATGCTTATTTGATGATATTTTCCACCCCATTTTTCTTCTTTTTTTAATTAATGGTAATTGAGGTCTCACCAGTACCAGCTAATRTCAAATCTGTCTGGACTATGGCTATCTTGTCAAATATCCAGAACAGTATTTATGCAGTCATATAGTTAGCACCCATAACYCAGGCGGGGATTTATAAACTTTTATGGAAGGTAAAAGCTCCTGCTTCCATTCAGGAGAAATAAAAGGGGAGCTACAGTGCTGGCCCTGCAAATCAAAAGACAGATCAATCTTTTCACTCAGTAAAACCTTCCAGCTCCCTTTTCCCTGACCTCGATSTGCCCTGTGTCTCCCCAGCTGCAGCACCCAAGTGCTGAAGTGAGAGAGTATGCCTGTGCCAGTATTTCCAAGCTGTTRCAGCAGGAGCACGTCATCCCAGCCTTCGTGCAGAGGGATGTGGTGCGGTGTTTGGGACCGTTGCTGATGGATCACAGTTTGGCTGTTCGGGAAACGGCTGCGGGTGCTCTGCGGTAAGGGTTTGTTATGCACAGGTACARTGAGGGGATCCTGGCATGGTGGGTGTGTAGGGGAACAGTGGGGTTCTGCTGCTGACAGCTGTGAACTTGAGTGCCAGCCTGTCTTGCTTTAATTCTGATCTGAGTAGCTATGCCTATAGCAGCTGAAGTTTGTGAGAAAGGGACTTTTCTTTCTCTGTGAGACTTTAATGTCAGGAGCAGACTTTATGGTAGAAATGTATGGCTCCATGAGGAAATACTGAGAACTTGAATGCCATTTGTATGGTATTTTGTGTCATGTGTTTTACTACAGATAAGCTTTCTAGTTATACTTTATGAGTAGATGAAAATAGTACTTTTTCTCTGACACCAAAGTTATTCTCTTGTGTTAGGGAGGTAGAAGACTAAAGCTACTGATTAGGCAAGTTGATTATAAAACATAAAGTACCATAACCTTTAGAGAAGAATATCAAATGCATGGGGTTTTTTTTAAACATTCCTGAGAAGTATTGTATCTCATCTAAAACTTTTTTTTTTTTTTCCCAGAAATCTAAGTGCTTGTGGAGGATTTGATGTCTGTGATGACATGGTGACGAACGACATCATGACACCCCTGGTTGCACTTCTGAAAGAGGTGATTTTCAACCTRATCTAGGTGTTGAATTGTCCCATTTACAAAAACAGTTATATTTTTGTAGCTATTATTAAAATAAGMTACTTGAAAGATCTTTTTAGATAATGTTTCAGTAGGTTTAATGATACAAAAGTTATTCCAGAGATTTCTAACTGCTGTTTTCTGCCTCCTGGCCAGCTAACTTGTGTCCATAGTGAGGTTTGCTGCCTAGGATGATTTTTGCATGAAAGGTCTGGAGATTTTTGGGTCTGTAATGGCAGTCAAGACAAGTTTATTCTGTCAGTGCGARTCCAGGTCCTTCATTTATGTTGCAGCATTATTCTATTGAGGTGTTTTTTGGTGAGCAATTCTGTCTGAGTAGGTGTTTGGGTTTACAGCTGTGAAATTACTGTAGGATAACCTGTACTGAATTTGTATTCTTTGTTTGGTCCAGGTGTTGCAGTGCAGTTTGGAAATTGCATTGAATTGTCTTACCTGCTGTCTTTGTATGAGCAACCTTGAGCAATRCCATCATTTTCTGTATGTTTCTTCCCCATTTTAAAGTATGAGTAATAGCATTACTATAAAGCATAGTAAAGTGTTAGCTGAATTAATCTTTGTGATTAGAAAGAACTGTTGACAATTGCWTACAGACTATAAACAAGAAACAGCATTTCAGGTTCTAAAATGGCCAGGTATTTTTTTTTAATTAGAAAGTGCTTTTAAAGGCTACCAAAGGCTACTAAATGCAAAGCAAGTACTGTTAGAGTTGTTTTACAAGAGAAAAGTTATCGATTCAAGTTTTCATAGACAAAAGAAACTAGTCAGGTTTTCTGGTAATAAACACTTCATGAAAGGATCTCTCCACTCACTTCTGCTAATAGTTTAAAGTTTTGCTTTTCTTTGTGGCTTGAGTGTTTCCATCCCTGGTTCTTTTTTTTGGTTGTAGTGCAGCACTGGACTAGATGCTAACCAGCTCTCTCCAAAGAAATGCAAGGAAATGAACAAGAATTATATTGAAGACATAGCCAACGARGCTATTAATTTGCTGTGGAATATATGGTAAGTGCTGTGTAAACACGGGCATTTTAGCTAAATTAAATTGTGCCTGAAAAGGAATGTGGTAATTGATGCAGAAAAGAAATGACTGTCCTGGCATGGGAGGATGCATTCATTTRCTGATTCTGATTGTGTTGCTCCTATGTGTACCTTGCTTTAATAATAGTGAGCCCTCATTTCATCTAAAATAAAAGTTTATCTTCTGCTGCAGATTACTTTTTTAAAGTGAAGAATTCTAAAAGTGCACCAAATTGGTCATTAGTTTTGGAAGAGTAGCATTTTTTTTCCTACTKATTCTTCATCCTGGGTTCTGATCCTGTTTTCTGAACGTGTTGGGTTGTGAACAGTTTGGGTTGTGGCGTCTTGCACGTATTTTCTGTAGATCCCTATCATGATCCAATAAATGGAGAAAATTAAATTCTGATCAATGGACTCCAGTGCTCTAGGAATATGAGGAGTTTTTGTACTACTTCCTCCCTCTGCAGGTTATCCTGAAAATTAGTATTAACTGTTTGGGTCAACTATCCCTTAGTAACTGAGAACGGATAAAAGTCTGCCTATTATGTGAGAAATAATGTAACTTGTTCTGTTAGTAGTTCATATTGGAAACTGAAGGAAGAGAAATGGCAACACTATTAATACAGAAAYGACTATCAACATTGAAGTGCTAAAMATCTGCTCCAAAAGTTYTTMTTGAACTTTGTGTTGTTTCTCTTCATTTTTTCACATTGTGCACTTTKCATACAGGATTTTGTTTAGTGCTGTACTGTGCTTCAGTGGAACTGCCTTTGTGCTTGTCTGTGTGATTTGACTGCTGGCCTGAGGCTTTATTTCTAAACTGGGATATATAGTTTTTGGGTATTGGAATCTGGARCAGTAGATAAACTGCTTGCTCAGCGCCTTGCACAGAATACATGACCCCATGAGTAACTCTGACTCAACAATGTTGCGTGTTCATTTTTTTTTTGCTTTTTAGTCAGTGCTTGARAACAGGAAGTATGATCATTAAGTGTGATGTAAATCACTTCTGTGTTTTGAACTTTGTGGCAATGAATGTGAACTGCTCATTTCATTGCTAAATTTGGTACTGATAAAATTGGGGCTGGCATTAATGCTGAGAACATAATATTTTCAAAAGTAAATTTTTGAAGAACCTTGTAGCCAGTTAGCTTCTKTGTTTTTTAGTTTGAATTGTATTGTATAAATGCATCAGTTTCAAAGAGAGAGGATCCGTGAGAGCTTGAAGAAAAACAAATTCCACAGCTAGATAAAGACAGTAAATACACTTATGAATGATAAGAGCAGTCATTTTGGCAGTGAGTGAATACTGGTGTGAGAGGCAGCCTGCTCTGCTGGCARTGGGTTTGTGGGTGAAGTCTCCTTTGGCTGCAGGAAGTTCTGGTCTGGCTTGCAGCCCACAGCTCTGAGCTGCCTTTCACACTCCAGCAGGAGACTCTAGTTAGGCTCCCAAATAAACTCCTGAACACTGTGTGTGAGGAAGGAGCTGCCACAAGCCATCTTACTCAAAACTGTCCAGGATTTTGAAGCTTGCGTTTCAGCATCTTACATAGAGTTGATCATAACCTCAATAATGAAGGATAACTCTCTGAAAAATGTGTAGTTCTTAAGTTGTTAAAAATGTGACTAATAACGAGTGTAGAGTACTTAAAATGTTGCTACAGTATTTTTGTCCCCTGGCAAAGTGTTTAACTGTCTTTTTTGTACTTTAGTGAATGCAACAATACTGCCTTATACATATTCAATAAAGAAGGATGTCTGGAGGCTGTGTTGCATTACATGAAGAAGTTTGCCACAAATGTAGATCTGGCCATTTCAGTAGGTAAGTAGGAAAAAGAAAAAGTAAGGATTTAAAGAGCCTTTTTTTTTCTTATATGAATGTAATGCTGATATTACATTAATTGGAAAATGGACCTGCTTTAGCATTGCTTAACTTTGCAATGAGTATAAAACTTTTAAGTTAATTTTTAAACAGCACATAATAAAGAAGTTAACATCTGTTGTGTTTGTTTTCAGTCCAAAGGAGAATGGCTTATTGCTGGTTACAAGGGAAAAAAAATTGTGGGAGGAAGGCTTGAGAGGAGGCTGTGTTTTTCATTTTGTTTTCATGTTTTGGTAATGGAGAGTTAAATTTGTTGAGCAGAGGAACTAGTCCATCTAAAAAAGCCCCGAAAAGTCCGGTCACTTTCAATGTGGTTTTATCAGTAGTATTGTTATTGTAGTTTTATAATAGTCATAACAGGTGTCTGTGCTCCCAGCATTTTTTTTATGTTGTCCTTAGCCAGTATACAGTGGAGAAATTTACTTTTGAGTAGCTGAAATTAATACAACCAATTCCATATCTGAAGTGGTATTGTCCTCGTCTGTTTTWTGTACAGGTTTGCCASACAATGTCTTTTAATCTAAAACACACCTTGTGAAGGACAGTGTCTAACCATTACAGCATGATGCTGCATGATTTTTTTGTTTTTTCCTCTGTCAGCATTTGGTTGCTCCAGCTTTCAGGAAGTTAATGCTTTCTCATTAGCAGCGTGAAAGCTGTTACTGGGTTTGTTAATTATGTTTGCTCTTGCTGTTTGCTGCAGCAAACTGCTTGCAGGCAGTGACRGAAGATAATCCAGATCTTCTCTCTTCATTTAATGTTTCTGCACAACAAATATTGGAAACAGTGATGTTGTGTCCAGAGAGCACCATGAAGCACATCCTTCTGAGAACACTGATAGCAGGTACAGTGCTTGAGGGGGTTTGTGCCTTTGAGATGGGGAGCAGGGCAGGTACAGGAGGCTGAGGAGGACAGAAGGCTTAGTCCTGTCTTGGTACAGTTGGTACAGCTTGGTACAGCTACAGTCTGGCCATCTGATTGTCAAAGCCTATGTAGATTGATGGTGCAATTTTATCTGCCTGTTGGAACTGCAGGCAGATTTTTGCAACTAATTTTAAAGCTGTCTTAAGTGTTTGATTCTGAATTCAGCTTCTGCTCAGTGTGATAGCCCTCTTTACTGCTCATTTGGTTTTCAACAATGAAAATCAATGAGTCAATCATAAGTGGTACAGGAGTTGTTTTGATCTTAATAGGTGTAGATTTTTTTTTTTACCAGATTGTCTACTTGAATTCTTCTGTTACTTCAAACGCTTAACCATGGATCCTGGAGTGTAATCAAATAATTTTAAGAATCCTTAGAAAATGATTCTTGCATGTAGATTTGTTATCTCAGGTACAGGGTGACACCAAGGTTGCTCATATAAATACTCTGTAAATATTTACATACTGAGATTTAGTTGAGCTTAAGATTTGGGTATAAMAGTTACTACAGATGAGTGTATGAAATGTTGCACAAACAAAATACAAATCAGTAAAGACTTGAACATTTATACTGAATAGAAGCACTGAGTATTTTAAGTAGTGGAGACTGTGTCCTTACAAATGGTTATTACAGAGTTGGGAATTGAGCACTTTAATAATTTATATGTTTTGGTTACCTCTTATTTAGGCACTATTTGGAATATAAAGGATACCATTCCACCAGGCAGCCTGGGAAGCACAGTTAATGCAATCCTGAAGATATTTTCAGAATCATTGGCAATAGACGCTGGTGAAACAATTATTCATATGAATGGAGCTGAAAAAAACAGRTTAAAACTTGCTGTGGAAGCAGAAACAGAGGAAAACATGAGTGATATTACAGAAGGCTGTGTTTTGAGTGAAGATGATAACATGGAAGAAATACCAAAAGGAAAACTCAGAAGAGAAAATGACATTTCAGATTTACTCCCAGTAAGTGTGGCTGACTGGCTTTTAGACAGCTTYAGTGCAAGTGGCATTCATTGAGAAAGAAATGTGCTCTGGAATATCTAGCAAAAGGATGGTAGATAACACTGCTTGGGTTTGTGTTTTGGGTTCTGTTTTTCAAGCYTGGGTGTAGACTGAGAAGAGGGAAATGGCTGGACTGTATTTTTAACTGACAGTTTGGATACTTTAAATGGCACTTAAATGTTGTTTTTGAAAATTAAATTTGGTTCATGTTTTTAATTTTTTAGTCTGATAAGTGGGAGCTGAAAGAAGTGACAGCTTTACTGACGGCTCAGCAGACTGCTCTGGAAATCATTGTTAATATGTGCTGCAGTGAAGGTTTGTAGGAGTCTCTTTCATTGCAAGTGTTGTGGTGTGTTTTGTTTCTGAATAGGTCACGTTTAGCTTGCTGTTTGCTCCTCTTTTAAGGGCAAACATGCATGGGCAACTTGTCCCTGATATCCTCATCTGGGGCACAGTAGGTTGTCATTTCTATTACTAATTTAAATGTTTTTTCTTCATTTAACTGACTTAGGTTGCTTAAGTATTTTTGTTGCATGATACTACATGTGTCAACATCTAAAAACAAACAAGCACTCATGCCAAAGGGATTTTCTAAAGAGCAAAATCTTTGTTCAGTTAGTGTGGTCTGAGTGTTCTTCKAATACAAGGTGTGTGTGAATCTTAGTGCGGGATGGGGGCATCAATTTTTTTAAAGCAGATAAATCTTGTAACTTTGATTTAGTTTTGATACTACAAGTGTTGCAAAATTAGGAGTAGGGTTAGCTCTTGCAWGGCAAAACTCTGGCAACAATGTAGATGTAGGCTTTCAGAGCTCTGCCTTGATGATCTTGGGGAGGAGGAGAAAGAAAGGCCGCTATTTGGAGGGGAGTAGGAAATAGATATTCTGTATCTTTTATGAATTCTGAAACTTAGTTTTGATAGCTTTTCTTCTAATTTTCAGGAAACCAAATGAGAGATTATCAAATTATATTTTGAAAAGCCAGCAAACAAACAAAACTAATCCCTTAAACCCTCCAAAAACTGAAAACTTTGATTGCTATTACAGTTTTAGCCTGATGCAGGAGTAATTGTGTAGGAAGTAAGTGAGTAAAASTTTCAGGTTCTAATAAAAACCACAGTAATACTCAGTTATTCCCAATGGTGACTTTTTTCTCTTACAGCACAAGGAAATTCTTCACCTAGTGTATGAATCTCCTTTCTCTGCATTTCTYACCTAATGAGCTGTAATTCATAAGCTTTCCCCTTTAATTGGAAAACCTCTTGTGGATAAGCTGCATATTCTGCCATTCACTCAATGTAATGTAAGATTGATTGTGTTGTATTTCGCTACAGTACTTTACCCATTCATGGGCAGACAGAAGCAGTCTCTAGAAATTAACAGGAATCCAGAGGCAGCTTTTCATTTAATTTTCAAATTATTTGAGGACTAAAATAGCTTTACCCATTATGCTGAATTCTTACAAACACTCGGCTTGCAGCAGAACTGAGAGAAATAACCAGACTGGCAGGAGATGTGCTTTACTGAACACTGGCCAGTGTCTGGAAGAAGCAGAGAGCTTCCCTTTGGTGGGGACCTGGGCAAGAAGCCAAGASACTCCAGCACTGATGTCCAGTCTGTGGTTCTTGGGTTACCAGTGCTAGGTAAGATGGGATTGCTGCTGGAAATGCCTCTGTGTTTCCCAGAGCATTACAAGAAACCTGATCATAGTTGTGGGCCAGTGTTGTAGACCCCAGTGCCTGCTCTGCCCTGGTYGCTCGCTGTTAACACATGACAACTGCTGTCTGTTATTGCTGAGCTGCATTGTCAGCCCATATTGTTAGTGATTATTTTTCGAAGGATATTTTTTGCTGTCTTTGTTTTCTAAAAGTGCAAAAGGAATTCTTTTAGAAGAGGCAAGAGACTGAAAGGGGGATGTCTGCTTTGTTTTCATGTTTCTTGTGCCATGGTTTGGTAAAGCATGAAAGACAACCATTTTCTYATGCAAAGTCTATTAACACCAGCAYGTTATGGTGTAGAATTAATTGGATATTACCATGAATAACACAGGATGCCTGTGTGGTCAAGTTACCACAGCTTGGTGAATTACTTTGCATCAGRTAAACCATAGCCATCATCTTCAAATAAATCCTTAAACTTGAACAGTACAAGTGCAATGCATTCATTTGGATGTTTCTTGCTGAATTTTTTTTGTGCATTTACGTTTTGTCACAGAAGTGCATTCTGTTTCTGTACCTAGTACAGGACCTACATCTCATGAGAATTTGTATTGTCAGACAAAATTACTTAGGAATGAATATGATATTTTTTCATGACAATAGTTAACTATCCTGACCTATGTACACAGAGCTTTCATCTGTTAGAGAGGAGGATCAGTCCAACCTGTAGACTTAGGACTTGGGTAAACACTAGTTAAAATGTAACCAGATTTAAAGAAAATTCAGATAAATGAGTGTGAGCTCTGTGGACATAGATAATATGGGTTTAAATATAAATGATGATGATCTTAGTTTGTGCTTGTCAGCCCAAGTCCCCCTTTAGCTGTGGACAGGACAGACTGTTCACTTTACTGTTGGTGATAAGAATTCAACTCCTCTCACCATATCTGCCCTCACAGATCTGCTAGTAGAGTAAGTCATGTAAGTATAACCTAGTTCAGGTTTAAGACTATAGATGTATTTTAATTTATGGGAAATACGTTATCTGAAATTTCTATCAGAGATTATTTGTCTTGCTTTGGCTTGCTTTGCTGTCATCATTCCCTGACCTTGCTGTGGAGACAGTAACATCTTCATCCAGCCCAGTTACTGCCCAGGCAGAGGAGATCTGTCTGGGGCTTTAGTATTGCCAGAGGAAACAAGTGCCCTAAAMTGGCTGCAGTTAGTAGACAAGTTAAGTTAAACTGGGGTATTTGCATGCTTGAATCAACCTCAAYGAGTGAAATGGTACAATCCAAGTTYAAGTCTTTGTAAATCTGTATGAAATGTTTCTTCTATACCTTTTTTGTTATTTTTAAATAACACATTGTTAGTATCAGAAATTAACATGCCCACGTATGGAGAACCTCTCTCATAAGAATATCTGTTGTCTCACCTTAGTGAATATAAAATACTTTACAAAAAAATATTTTCAACTATGGCTTAATAGCACTTGGTTTGTGGGGAGTTCATTGGAGCCCAAGAGCTTAAAGATTCCTCAGCCAAGAAGTGGARGAGCCAAGTTCAGTTGGGAAGTAGGATACCTGATGCATTAGGGCTGTTACCTTYACAAATATGTCTTGTGTTCTCAGATCCCTCTGATGATGAGTGGGAAGAACTCTCCAGCAGTGATGAGAGTGATTTGTTCATGGAAAACTCATACAATGAGGGGAGTGGGCTGCTGCTGTCACCCYTRTGCCTCTCTGATGAGGTTAACTCAGCCTTTCTGAACAACCTCATTCCAAAGAAGGTACTGTCTTGTTTTCTTTCCARCACATGGTAGTCTTTCCTTTGTTCCTGCTGTGTATCTCACGTTAGAAACAAATTCTCCCAATCCACCTGGAGGAATATTATTTTAAATGAGTGTAGCCTCCCTTTTTTGGCCTAGAGGTGGTGCATCATTCCATGACATAAATAATCTGCAAGTGGGATTTAAAATTTGTTTTCCCTTTTTTCCAAAATACAAAGGTTGTTAGTCCTTGATTTGGACATGAAAAAAGGAAGGAAACTTGAGTGAAGCATGACAGCCAGATTTCTGTATTAGCTAAATGAGGTGGAAGTAACATTTATGAATGGCAACAGTCAGCACTGAAAAAGTGCAAGTYCCTCTCTCCCTGTTTTATACAAAGTGTCTGAAATACACTATTTGGCACAGRCAGGAAATTAAATGGTTTTGTTTCAGAGTTGTTTTGCTGATTTTTATTTGGGGTTGTAAAGGTGAAGTTTGTTATTTGAATCAGTTACTGTGCTAGTTCAGCAGCATCATAGAGTTCTGAGCTAAGACATCAAGGTGCAAGGTGAAAACTTTGAAGGCTTTTTGTAGTTAATAGCAAGGATTTCATGGCAAGGCCTTCCAGACTTGCAGCTATCTGCAAATCCTGTAGYAGAATCTGTAAGAAGAAAGAGCTAAATAAGAAAAAGTTAGCAGAGAGCTAGAAAATCACTTGTTGTTARTACAGTTGAATACTTAAAATATGCTCTGCTAAACCCAGTGTATAATTGCACCATTTAAATGATTGAGGAGAAATCTGGCATTTTCAGCAGATAAGACATTTGCTACCTGGATAGCTTTAAAATACTTCAACTATGTATCTGTTTGACATTAAGCTAAAATTTCAGTCTTCCCTSTGAACACACTATAACAACAACAACAAAGGCTTTGTTGCTAAACATTTGTTTTTCCCCTCCTCAGATTCTTGAAAAAACTGCTTTTCCGAACAGTGTTGCTCTAGACATCTGTATGCACAATCCGTCTTGGAAACCATTAATTAAAAAGTAGGCATTTCATTGTCTCTCTTAATATTTTTCATGTGTATATTCAATTGTTTTGGAACTCTTAGAAGGATTGTCCATCTTTGGGCTACTCTTAGGATCTGGCAACTGGCAGATCCGAAATATTATTTTGAAWAAAGAGATACAAATGTTTTTGTAAACTGCATACTGGATCACAGTCTTAYTAAATTCAAGATTCTTCTTTATATTTCAATAGGTATTTTCAAAAATACCTGCTCAGTGTGTTTTTTATTTGTTTGTTTCAGACTGAACGCAGTGCAGTGTAGAGCTTTAACGTGTCTTCACAGCATTTTGTTGGTGTCAGATGTGGATTGCCTTGGGGGAGCTTCAGCACTCCAGTCCCTCGCACAGCATCTCTCMCAGCTGATCTTTTCTAGAACAGGTGAGATGTTCAGTAAAGGGGACTTGCTGACCCCCTTTGCTGGTCAACTAGGTATGAGGTAGCCATGTATGTTGTGGAGTTCTAATGCCRGTTATTACTAATTTTATCCCTTTGGCTTTTCAAAATAAGGATCCTGAATGTTTGCAATGTGTGACATTACAGTGTTTATCCAAAGATGTGTTTATCCAAACTGCACCTTGAGTAAGTCGTAATGAATTGAGCAGAATCTGCCTCACATTTGGGTCTACACAGAAAGTCACTCAGAGGATGAATACTGCCTTGTTGGGAGACCAGAACTGTTTGCTTGATCATATTTGTGGTAACAGCARTTTTTCATCAATCAGACAAGCCATGAAGAAGATGGGACATTTTGTTTTTAAATATGCCAACTAGCCTGAAAGGATGTGAAAAAAGATGTCTAGTGTAGTCCTTCACATAATTTTTTCCTAGTAATCTTACCAAATTGTGGCAAAGGCAGCACRTGCTTTATGCTTATCATGGCTTAGCTTTTTAGGAAATATATTTATAGGAAGAAGGTGTGCAAAGTTTTTTGACTAAATATTAAAGCWTCTCAGCTTCCTCTTCTGGTTGTGGTTTGATTTCAATAGAGAAGATAATAAATTTAATTTTTTCTAAAAACGCTATTTTAGAATATATTTTATATGTATTTATAAGATATATATTASATCTGTATTTAGACATTGGAATAGGCTGCCCAGGCAAGCTGTGGAGCCACCATGCTTTGGRTGTTTAAGGAAAGACTGGATGTGGCACTCAGTGCCAGGGTCTGGTTGACWCTGTGGTGATTGRKYMCARSYTGKRWYCMATCTCAGAGGTTTTTCYCAACCTCATTGATTCCGTGGTAYATCCTGGTAAACACTGGAATGTACCCACTKTAGCTCCTCCAAGGTGTATTATTTCATAGAGATAYTGTGAAGGWTTCCCCATACRTCTGCCAGTACAGTGTTATTGCATCATTTGTACAGTAATTAGCATTTCCAGTTGCTTTCTGTTATCTTAGACATGAGAAGAGCATAATTTTCATAGTCCTGTTGGATCATTTTGCTATGATCTCTCTGTTACTGACATGAGAGAAGCTGAACTGRGATTGGGTTAAAGAAAAATAAGGCAGGAAAACCCCACCTGGTTCCARACTGATGACGTGGGTCCCTGACAGGCTGTTTCATTCAGACTGTTCTGGTAATCTGTGTTTGTTTTAAGGTCAGTGGTGATGGGTGTTCAAAAAATAAGAGATATTCTTAGAGCCTGGAAAAGCTGCCAATTCTCAAAAGTGTCAGAAAACGTTTTCCCTAAGACAGTTCKGCTGAAATCTGGCATATGTGTGGCTTTGTCATTTCTTGTCTCTTAGAAGCTCAAGAAGCTCAGTTCCCTTCCTTCAAGTGTCTCCATTTGTACCCACAGATGCAGCTTATGTAGTTCTCTGCTGTGGTGTGTAAAATGACACTGCATTAGTGCTTGRAAATGCATCTGCCTGCAAAACACACTTTTTTCTCAATGTCTTTAAAGACATGATCAGTCTCTGGGAACATTATTACTGAGAGGGCAGTGCGTGGAAAACTAAAACACAGAAATGAAAATGTCTATGAAAACATACACAAGGAATTTCACATAAAATATGTCTCGTGCTTGAAGAGAGGATTTCCAAGACTTTGGGTGTACACATTATGCTTTGTAATAGTCAGAAAGTTCTCAGATGAAGCTGGAAAAGTTGCTATSTGAAGACAGCTAAGGATGCTAAAATTGATTTAATGGCACAGGCTCATTTTTTAATGGTTAAATGCTGTGTAATGAAAACTGCCAGATAGAGTTGATAACATACTAACATGTGGTTAGAAGGAATTCTGTGGTTTACAAAGGAAAAAAGAGGCATAAAGATCTGATTGTTTACATGAGAAAGGAGGAGTTGCTCATAAATCAAGAGATTCTGCATCTGGAGTAGTCCAGAAAATAAACATTTTGGAGGAAAATAAAAAAACCTCAAGAAATGCAGAACAGAGATTGAAGGTGATGGCTGCTATCGATGAGTTTGTAGTTAAACAAGAATAATGCAGTGTTTGAGTCATACATTCCTGAAATGTTATTAARCCACCGGAAAACATGCTCTTTATATGAATTGGAAAGAGTCCAGTTTTCTGGGTGTCTGAAAAGCTTGCTTAAGAAGGCAGAAGAAAGGAGGTAAAGTATGCAGTCAGCTTCTGTAGTTTTCTCAGTTCCTGTATGTGGCCTCCATGTGGTACCAGATTTCAGCTGCTGTTCTGGTGACAGTGGCTGGTGCTGTCCATCGGGTCGTGCTTGTCTCAACCATGGATGTGCCTGAAAATGAGGACCAGCTGTGTTCTAACCTCCAGATGCACTTAGTACCGAATTTAACCAAATCACTATGGTTACAGCCTACAGAGACCAGTCTCTGAAAATCTAGCTTTTCCTGTTGTGGTAGTACCTGGAGGAACAATTAAGGGATTAAGGAATTTGTATTTCTTTGCTTCCTGTGTCCCACATCTTAGTGTTTAACTTCTGCTCTGGGTTCTATTCTTTGACAGAACTCCCTACAGACACAGAATTCCTGGAAGCYGTAACGAGTGCTTTGAGGGCACTTCTACAAACAATGGCATCAAAGAACATCTCCCAGGTAAAAGCTTTCAAATTCAGATGCTCTGATAGGGTCAAATTCCTGTGAGATTGGGCTGGAAAGTTTTTGAAACAAAACAATATAAATTTAGTTCAGAATTTCAGCAATTGTGAACACTGGAAGAACAAATTTAATAAAATTAGCTGTGGTTTTCATGGACCATACAGGAATAATTTTTTATGTATCTCCTCCCCCAGATGCAAACAGATAAAAGATATTTCAAAACCAGAGTAACAATAAGCCACAGATATCCTTAGGAGATAGTTAAAGTGACAAATATTTAGTAAATTAGCACCTAGAAATGTGGATTCTTTATTTCCTGATGTCACCTAGTTGAAGCTGGTGGTTGTTCTTGAATCTTAGTTGGACATGAATTAGTGAGCTGAATGCAGGAATGAAGCATAAAAACACAAAACTAGATCGTTTGCTAGTCCTTTCTGGCCTTGAAATGAAAACTGAGCTGTTCTAAGTTATAATGAGTTGGAAGCAGCTATTGAGCTAGGTAAATTTGCGAAAATCTCGGAGCTTTTCCTTCAATTTCTTGTCAGCCATGGTTATATTCTGAAAGAAACACTTTGAGAGTTTACCTGCTTTCTTGGTAATTGCATTTTCAGAATTCATTTAGTTTTCAAAATCTAGGACTTTGTTTCTCTGTTAAGAATTTGCCTGTCTTCTGTAAAAACACAGTGTGTCCAAGTGTCAGATTTGAAAGTTTCCATGAAAATGTAAATGTGTCTGTCTTCCTTCTTTCCCTCCTTTCCCTTTGCTGACCAGTGTATGACTCCTGAGCAGTTATTGGCTTTGTGTGAGGCTGGTATTCAAAGCAACAATGCCAGTGTTAGAGTGAATGTGGTGAGCATCCTTGGAATTTCTGGCAGTGTCCTGGCAAAAGAACAAGATACAGCTGAAACTCTGAAGGTAAAAAAGCAAACTTTGCAYTGCAAGCTTAAAATAATTTTGGTATTTCTTTCCATTTTCTTTAACGTTGCTGGAAAAATAAATTATTCTTTCTTATTTCAGATGATTGGAAAATTTCTTCTTGAGGTTGCTATGAAGGAATCTTCCCTTGTGGTGGCAGGGGAAGCCTTGGATGCACTTTTTGATGTATTTGCAGATGGCAAAGAAGCAGAAAAGGCAGCGTTACAGATCAAGTTGCTTCCAACACTGAAGGAGTTTCAGCCAGTGTTCAGAATGAGGGTAGGCATCAAAGGCAGCCAGCTCAGGCTCTCAGCACACAGTGTGGGTTAAAGCTTTGAGTTTTGGGCTCCTAGAAAAGATAATTAGTTTATRAGATGACAGAAAAAAAAGTGTTTGATTTTCTGATATTCCACTTTAGAGGAAAGCAAATACACTTACCTTAAGTTCATGGAAATGTCAAGGTAACAGTGCAGCACCTGCATTACAACATCTGCATTACACCATCAGTGTTGCTGGTGTCCAGATCATTGTATTGTTCTGAAACATTTATAAAAAAAAACCCTGCAGATGTCTCTGGAGGTGGGAGAGAAGTCCTTTCTGAAGTTTCATTGACATCTTTGTTTTTTGTCTTGTAGTTGCAGTTGGATGGTTTTGTTCCATTCTTAGTTAATTAAAACAGTTCATGTATCCTGTATTTTCAAGAGTAACAAGGCTGGCATTCTAAACTGTAATTTTAGGTATATCCTTGTTTTAAACAGAGAATGACCTTCCACATGTTGTTTCTTTGGTCAGATGAGTAACTTTCATAGTCTGAAAACTAAGCACTGGACACACAAAGTACATACCTGATGGTGCTTCAGTTGTTTGTTTAAATGTGCAAATTTTCCATATAAAAAGCAACAGAAGAGAAGTTTATGTCTCAGATTTTTCAATGAAATAGTGTGCCAATAGTCAATTTTAGGCAGCAATGTATTATAGTAAATCGACTTGCAGAAATAATTGCTGAACTCCACGTGTCCACATATGAACACCTTGGAGTTCTCACAAACCATGGGTGGCATATCTTGGGAGAAGACCTAAATACAGAATTACAATAAACTTGAGGTGATGTAATAGGAGAAACTTCTCCATTAGTAAAACATGTATTTTTTTGGTTTTACAGATGMGAAAAGAAGGCAAAGGACTATATAGTACAGATCAACTGTGTGTTCTTGACAATGTGAAGATGAATTTGAGAAGATTCATTGCATATCAGGAGACACTAGGGAAAACCCCAACTTGAAACATCGAGGAACTTTTAAGGTTTTCCTTATTGARTAATGTTTTCAAAAAATACAACTTTTGAACTTCCAAACTTTRCTGAGCAGAGCAGTTTTGCTTTGATGTTAATGCTACATTTTATAACATTCAGTATTTTTATACTTTTGGGTTGATGCAATATGAAAGACATATCAGCGTAAAAGCCCCTTGTGGCATATCCTGATACTGTTGGGGTGATAAGGAGGTGCTCTTTCAGTTCTGAGACCTGTACATAGCACCAATGTCATTGCCCAGAAATCTTCGTGTACCCTGGCAGAAAACTACACTTGGGTGAAAAAGTAATTTAGAAAATATTCTCGGTCATGTGATAGATTAAAAAAAAGAAAAAGGTAAAAGCTCAAGATATATTTCAGGGAATTGAGCAGTGGGAGAATGTTCATAATTGCTATTTGCTCTTACCTGTTCCTAGAATTGCACAGGCACTTATGGCAGATTTCCCAAAAGATGTGTGTGACAAACATGTAAGTTCCTGTCAGCACTTGGATCTGTTATGTCATGTGGTTCATGAGGAGAAAGTTGTTTCAGATTCACTTATGATAAATTCAGTATGGTAGCTTTTTGCTGTGGAAATCAGTGTAAGCAGATCCTATGCTTAGATGCAGCTCCCTCTCTTTATTTTGATTGGTATTTCTGAAAATTGTCTCCTACTTTACATTCTTCCTTGTAATTCTACATCAGGATGAGTTTGAATTCAGGAAGGTAGTAAACCTAAAAGAAAGTATTTTTTATACTGAGATATTACCTGAAGTAAATATATATTTGCTTAAAATACCTTTTGCAAATATTTGTGACGGAGATTTTTTTAAACTGTAAAATACAGAAACTATTTTTTAAAAATATTGGTGATTTATGCAAATTGTATGTGAGCTTCCATATATCAAAAGCTTTAATTTTGTTTCTGTGGGTGAGATCCTCATACGCATTTTTCGTGGAAAAAAACCCATAACCAAACGCAAAAGCATTTTGTTATGTTGGTTTTTGAAATGGGAGGTTTTTTTYCTCCCCTCTCTCTATGTGCTGCCTTTGCTCAGGTATCCAGTTTTTGGCAAATTTTTTCCCATGATAAAAGCATGGAACTTAAAAAGACCAAATTTGCTCGTTTTGTTAGATTTCAGTCTCTAAGTTGGCTAAGCAGACTTGAGAACTGACTGGTAACTTGCAAATGACTGACTTTCTGAAATCCTGACATGGTATTTTGTCAAATGCAAGAGAAAGATCAGTTTAAGCAGCTGTACTGCCTGGAAGTCCTGTTACTGCTGTTACTTGCAGGAGTCGATGAAATGTGTGATGTGATGCCTGCCAGTCAAATGAGTAAGAGGGTGGGACTGGGAGGGCTCAAGGGCCACTGGGGCTGGCCTAAAGAAAACCAGAAATCATGAGCATGGAGTGGTTGAAAGGTTATCCAGGGATTTGGCAGGGCAGGCAGTGAAGAGGTCTGGAGTGTAACAGCTGAGGAAAGGTGGATTATGGCATAATACCCTACAGTGTGTGGATTTAATCCTGCTGTTAGTTACACTTGCTGTACACTGAGGATAGGATACTCTTAGCCTGATGAAAGGTATTAGTATTTGTTTAGAGCACTTAAAGGAATTCCATGTGAAAAGTTCTGCTCTCRTTTTCTGAGTCCTGAGTTGAGTTGCAGCATAATCTAGATTGGAAAGGCTCTCTGGAGGTCTCTTAGTTTAGTCCTCTGATCAAAGCCGGGCTGGCTTGGGAGACAAGTTGTGCTAGGCCTGAACATCTCCCAGAATGGAAATTCTRCATCTCTGGACAGCCTTTTTTCGGGGCTTGACTATCCTTGCTAGAAACACTTTTTTTTCCCCTTTTCCCTCTTGTGCCTTGTGGGACTTCCCCCTRCTGCAAAATGTGCCTCTTGTCCTTTGACTGCGCACCAAGAAGAGTCTGGCTCAGTCTCATAACCCCCTCTGGGTAGCTGAAAACAGCATTTATATTTCCCTTTTCTCCAGGCTGGATGAACCCAGCTCCCTCAGCTGTTCCTCATATRCCCTCTCCTCTCACCCTCCAAASATCTTAGTCCTTCTGCTTGACCTGCCCTAGTGTGTCTTGTGCAGAGGGCCCAAAGCTGGACACGCTACTCCAGAAGTGATCCACTGGTGCTGAATGGAGGGAAGCACTTGGTTTTCTTGTCCTGCTGCCATGCTCCTGCCAATGCAGCCTGCTATTTGTTAGCTGTTGTCACTGCAAGGGTGCACTGCTGACTCCAGTTCACTGTTCACCAGGATTCCTTGGTCCTTCTCTTCCAAGCTGCCTTTTGGTTATTCAGTCAAGAGCACTGTCCCAAGTGCAGGACTTTCCATTTTACAAGTTTAGCAGCCAGAATCTGTTTCCTGGGGACTGTTAGAAAACCAAAGTATGTTGGGTTTTTTTCAGGTTTTTCTTTTAGGCTGATAATGACAAGAAACATTTCACCTACAAATACAAACCTGAAAGTTGCAGATAAATATACAGAGGATAGGGCATCCACTAGAAAACATGGTTTTCTTAATATAATCTATCAGACCCTGTTTTTTTCCTTCAAGTGAAAAAACACACTGACCTTTAGATCTTTATTCTGGCAATATAAATACACAGTTTTGATTTTTTTTTGCTATGTACTAATCAGCTGAATGCCTTGAAAAAAAGTTTTCATAATGAGATTGGTGCATGGTACAAACCATATGCAAGACAAGGCAAGTTGTGAGTGATTTAAAGAAGCGTCTGATCAGGACTAAAGCCAGATGAATACAAAAGTGCTAAGCTACAAAAGTTCTAACACAACTAGGGAAAACTAAGGCAGCAGCAGAAGTGATGATAATGTGCAAATCCAATGTTTTGGGGGCTCTTTGAATACTGGTTATTAAATAGGTCTGGGGTAAGCTTCAAACAAGATCCTTGACAGCCTACAAAGGGGAAGAGGGATCTTGATACTTTGAGACAATGTGTAGCATAAGTAAATAGATACTAAATAGATACTAAATAGATGTAAGTGATCTTCATTGGTTAATCTAATCACACAGATAAGACTGGTATCAAAACAGGTATCTGAATTTGGTTGCTTATTCCGGTCCCTAAGGCATCATCTGTCTGTGCTTCAGTTAAAACCCGCAGTCATTGGAAAGCATGGATTGCTGCTTTGCTTATGTCCCTGTCTGGCACTGAGCACAACAGACTGCCTCAGAGGTGAGATGGAATACAAAAATAGGTGCTGAATTTACCTTGGTCTGTGGTACCGAGTAAATACTGTGGAGGGGACTGTGGGTCCCCTGCCCTGTTCAGGAGCATTTTCTGCTGCCCTGATCTCTACAGCCTGCAAAATGTCAAATCCTCAGCTGTGGAAATAATGAGTTATCATTTGTGTGGTTTTATTCTTGCTCTCTATGAAAAGAAACAAGTGGCAAGATTTAAATGTGCCTTTGTTGTGAAGTACGTTTTGTACATCATGCCTTGACATTYGGAAGACAGCTGTATACCACAGTCAGTAGTTTAACTTTTTGGGAGTTATGCTGGGTGACGAAGGTAATTTTTTGCACAGTATGGGCTTTTTTTAAAAAAATATTGTCTTTTTAGAGGAACAAGAATAACTTCAACCAGTACTACTTGGCTTGGTTTGATATTTGTATTTGGAGAGACAAATATGAAAAATGAAAGCACTGCAAAATACAAAATGAGAACTCTGTTGGAGAACAAATGAATTTAAAATTAGTTTGCAGTTTAAGTATTAYAAATGAAATTCATATCTTGTGGAGTATTAACATAAAACAACCAACCAAAAAGGCCCATAAACACAAGTTCTGTTTCCTTAGTAAGGGGTTTTCAAGAAAAACATTCCCGAGGACTGGATAGAAACATCTAGCCTTACATTTACTGTTGCAAATTCCAATTTCAGGCAATAGTAGTGGTAATTGAAAATAATGTAATTGTTCCTTTCTGGCACAGGTGACTTGAGCAAACAATCTATCTATAGTTTGTGCTGGACAAGTTATTAAATTATATAACTTTAAGATAATTGGCAGAATCTGAGGTCTCTGACAGACACAGCAGGTTGAGGAGCTTGAAGTTTTTCCACCAGGGCTGACACATGGTGAGCCTTTCTGTATGAAAAAGCTTTTACTTGAGCAATGGGGTTTTTTTTTAGACAAATTTTCAGGTAATTTAAAACTAATAATTTTTGTACCTTCTGGGAAAAATTGAAGGCATTTAAGTCAATTCCCTTCAATTTCAGTTTGTTTCTGTATAATTCCTGTAAGTTTCTTGTTTCTGTGAGAGGCATTTAGTCAAACATATRGACATAATTCAGTGACCACGTAAAACATTGTTTGAGACTTGCACACATGAGGATATAAGGAGATGCTTTTTTCTTTCAGATCAGGCTGTCAGGAACCTCTTGCATTACTGTTCCTTTATGGGTTTAAATCAAACTGCTTGGGAACTGAACTGCSATCCCGCTGGAATGTCTGCTGTTGGAATGCTTGTGGCTGCTGCATGTTCTCACAATGAGGGTCCTGCTGCAGCCCTGGCGTTGTGAGGTGTTCACATAAATCCCTGTACCATGCTGAAAGATGTATTGGGCTTTCAGTAAGCCTTCTCCTGGTTTTGTGTTTGTGCTATGATAAAAATCCCATGGAAAATTGTTTTCTTTCTCCTCTGACATGTCAATTTATTTTTTTTTAACTCTTAAGGAATATTGCATTGAYGTCTTTCCTTCTCCCTGTCCCTTCAAATGGAGAGTGAAAAGCACTTCCAGAACTTAATGGAAGAATGGCTGATTCAGCTAGTAAATGCATGATGTTTCTAAATAACCTTTTCTGGGATGTTCTCTTTTTAKTAAATAAAAGAGTTAAAATTCAAAGTGGTGATTAAAAAAACCAATTTGACCATATTAAAATGTGGSTTTTGTTTGTTTTTTATGCCCCCCTGCGCATACTTGCTAATCTAAAGCATTTGTGTTACTACACCGCCTGTGTTGTGTCCTGGCTATATTTGCTTGGGACTAGGGTTGCTACCAAGGAATCCCATAAATCAATAAATCTCAGCCTATAGAAAACTTGTTTGCATATATGTGCTATGAGTGTAGGCTAAATCATGGATTTTTGCAGAAAGAGCTTTATTAAAAAAGGGAACAAATTTTTATTTTTCCTGTTGTGCTCCTTTTATTTGACTTAGACTTTTCTTCATTGCATTTTAAAAAAAATTTAATTGAAACCTTTTTATTTGRATTTTTGATGTGCAGAGAACAAAATTTAGACCCTTCTTGTTACCTTTTCCTGCTACGCTTATAATTTTCAGAATAACTGAAGAATGTGGGGTTGGAAAATAGGGTTATTCATATTGGTTATTCCCCAATTCCAAGATTTGTTCAAGTCCCACCAGTTTCCACTTGGCTTTCAGTAGTAGTTTTAGGTGCAGGTCCTAATTTTCAAAGCAATTAAGTTTGTCAACTCAATCCCCAAATTTCACCCTCTTGCTGTAGTTCATTTTCTCTTGGGCAATGTAGATCAGACATGCTGTGACACAACAGAGGAGTGCTGAGGACAGTATGTTCCACTCTGGGATAGTGGGGAGAAGCCAGAACTTCAGTCTTTGGTTGTCACCAGGAATGGTGCTAAGTCTTCTTTGCACAGTATCACTTCATAGAATGCGACTTCTTAATTCTAAATCCTCCACCTCCAGCCTTCTAAAGAGAAATCATCTCCCATGCAATTCTGAAAGTGGGGGAAGCACCAGGCCTTTCATGCAGAATGCTGGAAACTTTGTAGCTGATATTAAAGATGTTTTAGGCTGTAGTATGAAAACACTAAAAATAAAACCGAGTCTAACAAGAAACTGGTACTACTCAGTGTTGTTGTTTGGGGTGTTGTGTATGTGATTTATTTTTCCATCTGCAYGAAAGGCTGCATCTAGGCTGCCTTTCCCTCTCCTTCGGTGCGGAATTAAAGGCAGGAAGATCCTGAACTATCCGTACGCGTTCCCACGAGTTTTACGGGAGCGCAGCGGCAGCTGCCGGTGTGCGGACGGGGACGYTGGCCCGGCTGTGCCCGCACCTCCAGCTGTGCCCGAGCCGCAGCCCGGTGCGCTGGCAGCAGCGGGGCYGGAGCCGCGGCCGCTCGGGCTCCCGCGGGGCCGGTG